TATGGAGCGGGGAGAGGGAGAGCCCGGGAAGGGGGGTGGCGTGGCGGTTGGTGGTGGGGAGGGGAGGGGAGGGAAGCCTTTTAATGACTCATTGATTGAGCCGGTTTAAAATTAGTTGTGTGCGCGAGTGTGAGTGTTTTCCGCCCCCCGGAGCCGCCGGGAGCCGGGAAGGAGGGAGCGGATCTCGGCGAGGGGAGGACTGCGCGGCGGGGCCGCGAGCAGGGGGCAGGGAGGGCGAGGAGTGACGGCGGGCGAGGAAGAAAAATAAGCTTTTCCAATCTCCTCCCCTCGTTTTTCACCCCCCTCGTTTCTTTTCTCTCTCAGAAGCTCTTGGGTGTGAATCGCATTTTCTTTCTTCTCGGCAAAATGGACCCCGTGCCTGGGGAGGGGGAGGGGAGAAGGTGGGGAGAGAGGCGGCGGCGAGGACAGGCTTTATTTTTCATCTTGGCTTCCTCCTTCCCGTGGCTTCTGCCGGCGGCCGCGGTGAGGACAGCGGGCCTGGGGCGCGGCGGGGAGAGCTCGGGCCCGGCCGCTCGTCCCGAGCCCGGCCCCGCGCACCTGCCAGCAGGATTGCCCTTTCCCCGTCGCCCAGATGCTCTGCCGAGGTCCCGTGGCCGGGCCCGGTGGAACCCCCGCGCGGCGCGGAGGACCCGCGGCCCCTGCCAGGCGCCTCCTGCGGGGCCCGCGCTGCCCGCCCAGCCGTCCAGAGAAGACTGTGGTGGCACTTTTTTGGCTGAGAGTGCGCGGGCCGACGCGGTTCGCGACCCCGAGTCGCCCCGAATGCGGGACGTCGGGGTGGGGTGGGGGGGCTGGAAAGCGCTAAGATGGCGCTGGGCCTGGCCTGTCGCCAGGGCCGGTGGCGCAGTTGCTCCGCGGACGCCATCTTCCGTCGCGGCGCGGGCGGCGCCCTTCGTGGAGGTTTCGCTGGCCTAGTCGCTGCAGGCCCCCGGGCGAGGGAGCCACGCTCGGGGTGTTGAATTCTGCAAATGGGGCCGGGGTCGCACCACTGAGGGCCGGGGGCCGCGAAGCGTTCCCCGCGCCCCCAGACCCAAAAGCCCAGGCCGCCGGCTTGGAGCGGGAGGGGCTGGGGTCCGGCGTCTTGCTCTTTCCCACTTGTTTCTTAGGGAAGAAGTGTGTTGGGGTCGGGCTTCGGGGCTGATAGGGTCCCTCCCTGACCCCACAGTCCCCGCGTCAAAACTGGGGATGAGAGGTGCCGGCCATCTCCCTCCAACCGCCTGAAGCTGGACGGCTTCGTCACCCCTGGCCCTGCTGGGAGCAGGGCATTGTGTCCTTTCCAGCATCCTCTTCCAGTTAATACTTAGAATCAAATCAGGTTACAAAATTGCAGAAAAGTCGAAGGCAGTGTGTGTTTGCCTCCGGTAACATAGTTCTCTATAGATATCTTATCGTTCGTTTTTTTTGGTTTAAGTTGGTTGTATTTTAGAGCAACACTGGAGAGGGAAATTAATGAAATTAGAAATTAATTTTGATATATTGCTTTTCTAAAATGAGTTCTTTATACGTTTAGAAAATTGTTAGTTTTCTAGTCAGATTGTCCAAAAGTCATAGGTTCCAGTAATTCAAAATTTTTCCATGTTGGTTTTCATATTATTAGAAATAGTAATAAATTTAAACAGTTTGTTAGATCTCTTCCCTGAAAAATTAGCTTTAAAACACGCTCGGAGACTTTTTTTTTCTTTTCTCTTTTCCGAAAAAATTGCACCGTGCTTTGGTCATTGCTTTTCTCATTAACGTAAGGGTTCTCAGTTCCCTGATTGACTAGTAAAAGTGTTTCCTTAAAAACATCTATAATATATTTATCTATCCAGTGGTAGCTTTATATTAGAGATGTGTGTATGTGTGTGTGTTTTACCTTTGTTTTAAATTGTTACTGAAAAGATTTTTGGGAGAAAAAAAATTATAATTCTTATTTGTCTAGGAGTTCACAGAGATAGAAGTAGTTAATTTCATGTGGATATAAGTAACATAGTGGTGCCACTAGTGTGTCCATGTTTGGCAGTGAATATTTTAGACCTTTTAATAAGACCTACCGTATATTGGGAGTCCCTGAGTGGTGCAGATGGACTAGTAGCCAGAAAGTTGGCAGTTGGAACCCACTCATAGGCACCTTGGAAGACCAGCCTGAGGATCTGCTTCCAAAAGGTCACAGCCTTGACAACCCTGTGCACATATGGGATCTTTGTGACTCCAAGGCAACTAACAATAATGACACCACCACCACCACCGTATATTGAACACCGGCTATATGCAGGAATTGTGCTTGTTGCTTTATATAATTTCTATTCAATTATCATGTCAGCCCTGCAATACTGATTTTATTATCTATCTACCAGGGAAGGAACTGGTGTTCATGGAGATATACTAATTGTCTAAGAAAAACCTGTTGCCATCCAGTTGATTCCGATTCATAGTGACCCTGTAGGTCTTGTGGTATTAAGTAATAGTGTTGGCCTTGGATCCCAAAAGCCATGTTCTTGGCTTTCCACCTATCATTTCCAAATCTCAATATTATAATCAACTGGGGAGATGTTTTAAATACAGAATGTAACATCACTGTATTTGCTAGGACCTGTTGGAGGTTTCCTGGTCGTAAATAATATATTAAGGTCGTAAATAATAAGCAATCTCTTTTTTTTAACTGAGACTTCCAACTTCTTAATGCCCCAGTCCCCTCCAGTATTGAAATTATGGCCTCCCTAGGTTCTACTGGAAGCCCTGGTGGCATAGTGGTTAAGAGCTATGGCTGCTAACTAAAAGGTCAACAACAGTTTGAATCCACCAGGTGCTCCTTGGAAACCGTATGGGGCAGTTCTACTCTGTCCTATAGGGTCGCTATGAGTCGGAATTGACTCGATGGCAATGGGTTTTTTTTTGTTTTTTAGGTCCTACTAAGTCTGCGTATCTACCAATCAATGTTATTCTAAAACACTCCAGGTTATTCCAGTGTGACAGAGATAAGCATTTGGAATATCACTGTACTGCTCTATGGACTGTACTGCTGCCTCGTTTGAATTGGAACATGAGAATTGAGTTCTGTATCATTTTGAGTTGGAGCAGTTTTATTGCTCACCTCATTTTCATTTTTATTTTCCCCTTTCTAGCTGCCATTTATCAAGTTATTGAAACTTTTCTTACAGAAAGAGGGCTTAGATATCCTGAGACTTTAAAATCTCACTACATTAAAAATATCTTTTTTCACTCTAACAAGAAGTTATATAACATACAGACTTCTAGATCTAGCCAAGCAATCTAGTTTAAGCAAGGCAGTTATGTAACAGAAATAGAATTGAATCCAAAATTGGTACAGAAATTAGAAATAGAGTACAAAAGATCCTGAGATGCAGACCTAGAGATAAATACTAGGAAGAAATGATCCTTTCCTGTATTTTGAATTGTGGGAGGTATCGTTTAGGTTTTGGGAAGTAGGATGGAGGAGGTTATTCTAAACATGAGCCCTGGTAAGAACAGAGTATGTGTAAAGACACAGAAGGTCAGGAAGAAGCATCCAGAGCAGTTGATGAATAGCTGACCTGACCAAAATGAGAGAGAACCAAGTCAGTGAAGAAATCATTAGCTTCTCTGGGGCAAGGACCATGAGGACCATGTATTTTAGTTATTTTGTGCTTCTCCTTTATTCTTCTCAAATCACTGTTACATTTACTAGTTGCTAGGTATTATGGTGGAGAATGTTGATTTTTGATGCAAATGTCAAGATTATACTATCTTTGCATATGTCCATATTTTTCTTCTACATTTGAAAATTTTGGAAGGAGAAGCAGATGAATATCTGTGTGAAGTCTATATCCAGTCTAGACCACTGGGCAGGCAGACGGGTGGGTAACTTCTACTCTTTAATTTCTCATGTGGTTTTTTCTCCCCTTGTTCATGGTGAATGTCAAAGTAATTATATTCTTTGACTAAAATACAATGAAACTTGAAGCAAGGGGAAATCTAAAGTAAACTTGCTGAGAGGGGAATAGTAGCTTCTTTAGAGTAGCCTTTAGTGGGATGGAATTTGCTAGGACCTGCTGGAGGTTTCCTGGTTGTAAATAATACATTAAACAATCTCTTTTTTTAACTGAGACTTCCAACTTCTTAATGCCCCAATCCCCTCTGTATTGAAATTATGGCCTCCCTAGGTCCTACTGGAAACCCTGATGGCGTAGTGGTTAAGAGCTGTGGCTGCTAACTAAAAGGTTGGCAGTTTGAATCCACCAGGTGCTCCTTGGAAACTCTAAAGGGGAGTTCTACGCTGTCATGTAGGGTCACTATGAGTCAGAATCGACTCGACAGCAACGGATTTTTTTTTTTTTTTAGTGGAATGCAAGACAGATGGCTGCTCTCATGGAATTTACAGTAAAGTGGGGAAAACAAAAAGTAAACATAAAGAATCAAGATAATTACAGATTAAGATAAATTATAGGAAGTTAAACTGGGGGCTCTAAAAGAGTGTTGGGGGAAGACTTGTGACTAGTAATGGTCAAGGAGAGTCTTGAAGAGGTGACATTTGAGCTGAGACTTGAAATATGTTTGTGCTAGCCATGTGAAAAGTTGAGAAAACATTCTAAGCCTGGGAACAAGTGCAAAGACTTGGAGGCCCGGAAAGGTGTGGGTGTTAGAACAGAGAGAAGGTTCCTTTGAGCAAGGGGCAATAGAATAAGATGAAGTCAGAGAGATCTGCACAGCCTCCTGCACAGCCTGTTGTATCAGGCCATATGGGGGATTTTTGGGTTTTATTCTCATGGCAGTGAGAATCTATTAAAGGATTTTAATCAAGGCAGTGACATGTTTTTGTTTTAACAATCACTGGCTGCTGTGTGGAGCAAGAGAGGAAGCATTCCAAGGTTAGTGGAATCTTAGGACAGTGCAGTGGCAGTGGAGATGGAGAAGAGTAGATGGCGGGTTTCATATATATTTTGGAGGTGGAATCAGGATTTACTTAATGGTTTGGATGTGGAAGGAGAGGGAGGAATCAGGAATACCTTTGGGTTTCTGACTTAAGCTGTGGGTGGCTCATGGTGCCATTTGCAATCTGGTTGGGGAAGACTGGAAGAGGAACAGGTGGAAGGGGTGGGTAACCAGAGTTTATGTGAACCTGTCATGTTTTTAAAACACTTGTGAGACATCCAGGTGTTCAGGTATGCAGTGAATATTCAAGCTGAGCTGAGAGGAGTGCTCTCAACTGAACATAAATTTGGGGAGTCACTAGCATACAGATGGTACGTCATGGAACTGGCTGAGATCACTTGTGATCGTAGAGGCCTCAAGAGCAAGGCCTAAGACACTTCTAATGGTTAAGGGTTAGGCACAGGAGAAGTTAGCAAAGGAGATTGAGAAGGCTCAGTCATTATAATGGGAGAGTGACTATCATTTTCTAGAAAGAGGGAATAGTCACCTCGGTCAATTGCTGCTGAGAAGTCAAACGATGAGAATAGAGAAATGTTCATTTGGATTTGGCCACAGGGGGGTGACTGTTTTGACAAGTAGTTTGTCACATATGAGAATGGAAGCCAGATCAAATTGTGTTGAAGAGAGAATGGGAAGTGAGGTGAATGTAGATAGCTTGTTGGGGAGGTTTTGCTGTAAAGGGAAGGGGAGAAATGGTATAGCAGTGGCTGGAGAGAGAGATGGGTCAAGGAAGAGTTTTTTTTTAAAAACAGTAGGAGGTGGATTATTTTCATAGGCTATTATCTAGTAAAGAAGGAGAGACTAATGTAGAATTCTTGAGAATTCTTAAGAAGGTGAGAAGGAATCCAAAACACAGAAAAGGGTTTGTTTTGGGTGGGAGCAAGAAGACTTGAGGGAGAGAAGGCAGGGAATATGGGTACAAGTGCAAGGATTTTTATGAATTGGGGATAGAATATAGGGCTTTGCATTCTGATGGCTTCTGTTTTCTCAGTGAAGTCTGAGGCAAGGCCAGCAACGTAAAGTTAAGGAAGGAGGGGTGGTGGGTGGTTTGAGGAGAAGGGTGCCTCACTTTGGACAGCAGACCTCCAGCGTTGTTGAATGTCCGGCTGAGGCTTGGGATTATGTATGAATTTAAAATGAAACCAGTCAGCGAAGTTAGTTGTGCGGTGTCCCCCTGCCCTCAATGTTCTGCTGTTACAAGGGCAGCAAAGAGAAGACAGGTGATTGATTCACTCAAGATTGGAGTTTTGCCCCAGAGATGCAACAGAGGAAGAGAGGAGCTAGGGAGTTGAGGGTGGTTGCAGTGACGTGATTATAATCACCTTGGAATTTCAGCTGGGACAAGGAAGCAGGAGAAGCTGATGAAGGGGTGTCATGAATTCAGTGAGTTAACATTTTAAATCAAAGTGGCCTTTGTGGCAGGTACAGATGTTATTTGTACAGCACCTTGGGCTGTTTGCTGTGTACCCTACTGTATTCTCTTTGGAAGAAAGTTGCCTTAGAAATAAAATATCAAATGATTGAGACTAAAGAGAAAGTATTGTCCCTTATCATGGTCCCAAACTGGAGTGTGATTAATAGTATGAGTCAGAATCGACTTGATGGCAATAGGTTTTTAGATGCCTGGGGAGGATCCCAGGTGGCACAGTGGTTAAAGTGCTTGGCTGCTAACCAAAAGGTCAGCAGTTCGAACCCGTTAGCCACTTTGCAAGAGAAGGATGTGTCAGTCTGTTTCCGTAAAGATTTACAGCCTTGGAAACCCTATGGTGCAGTTCTCCTCTGTCCTATAGGGTCACTATGAGTTGGAATCGACTTGATGGCAGTGGGTTTGGTTTGGGTTTTTATGGATGGCCTGGGTGGCACAAATGGTAAAGTACTCAACTGCTAGCCGAAAGGTTGGCGATTTAAGCCCACCCAGAGGTGCCTCAGAAGACAAGCCTGGCAATCTCCTGAAAGATCACAACCTTGAATATCCTCTGGAGTTCTACTCTGCACGCATAGAGTCACCATGAGTTAGAATCGACTGGACAGCAGCTAACAAAAACAGTAGACACTCTGGAGTGGGACCTGGGAATCTTACATTATTGTTTCCTTGTTCACTTGTTTATTTTAAGCCTTTAGCATAGTATTTAAAGCAAGCTGGGCACTTCGTAAAGCATGGCTGACTGAATACTTAGAGAACCAAGGTAGAGTCGAGTAATGGGACCAAAGGAAACACAGTTTTTGGAGGTAGGTAGAGATGAGCAGTACCTTGTATTATTAGAGGGATCCATGAGGGAAAAGAATGAGAAAGACCATTGGATGTGGCTATTGTTAGCATTAGAGATTCCAGACGCGTGGTGGAAGAGACGAAATCAGATTCAGGGGATGGAATGGGGAGCAATGAGTGTTGGGGAAACCATTTTCTAAAGATCCAAATAATACCAAATGGAAGTATGCAGCATTCCCCCTGCCTCCCCCCTTTCTCCTATATGCTCCTCTCAGAATCTATCGTTTGTTTTATTTTTTTTCATGAGGTTCTTCTGTTCCCTACACTGGCTACAGGAAAAGTAACAGTAAAATGAAATTAGAGAAAAGGGGAGTAGGGTAGATAATGGGATTCAAAACAGATGTTTGTGGTCATCACTGAGAGAAATGTCTCTGTAAAGGACAGGAGCAAAAAGTTTTGAGTTGAGAGGAGTAATTTGTGGGATGTATCAGTGTGGGAAGAAATCGGTAAAAGGAATGGCATTATGAATTATATAGTATACTGGATCCATCTGCACAGCATGGTTCTGTCTTGTGAATAATGTTCTTTAGTAAAACCAAAACCAAACCCATTGCTGTCAAGTCCCTTCTGACTCATAGTGACCCTGTAGGGCAGAGTAGAACTGACCCATATGGTTTCCAAGGTTGTAATCTTGACAGAAGCCAGCTTCCACATCTTTGTTCCAAGGAGCAGCTGAGTGCTTAACCAGTGCACCACGAGGGCTCCTTAATGTTCTGTGGTAGGAGTGGTAATTACCTGGGTGATGGTGCTGGCAGAAAGGTGGGGGGTAGTTAAAACTGTGGAGAAATAGGAGAGCTGACCAAAAAGGAAGGGAGTGTGGACTATAAAGGAAAGCCCTAAGGTGGAAACCCTGTAAGTGGGACCTGACTAAGTGGAGTTGAAGCCCAGGACGGGGCTCTGCCAGGGGAGGTGGGGTTGTGTGGCTTGCCCAGTTCTGGAGTGCTCAGGCCTTGTCAACATGTGATGTATGGGAAGGTTGAAGAAAGAGGTCCTAGGGGAGCAGCTGGGACCTTTGACTTACTGCTTTTTTCCTACTGTAACTTCACTGTACGAAATCTTCCTATGCCCAGGTTCCCTTTAATCCTAATCAACTTTAATTTATAAAATTGTGATTTGCTTAATTATAAATTTTCTTTTAATAAAGTTGTGAAATTGAACATTTTCTGGTTTTGTGGGTTCTTTGGCTATCTTGCAAACACATTAAACACTTATATTACCTAAAGTAAAAATCCTAAATGTGAGAATGTGAGGGAATAAGGTGTGAAAGAAATTGCCTTTCTAAAAGTGATTTATTTCAGTTCAGCCAAAATCCAGGATGCTTCCTTGTATCGTTAGGAATTAAACTTTGTCTCCTGGCCTGCAACTGAAGCATTTTCACAAGGAAGGAAAAGTGGGGAGGGGGATAGGGGATAAATTGTATTTGTTAAACTTCTACGTTGTTTCAGGCTGTGAGGATGTTTTACAGATATTATTAAATCCTCCCAACAATGCTGAAGGGTAGGTTTTAGCTCCATTTTACAGATAATGAAACTGAGATTTAGAAAGGATGAGTAATTTACCCAAGGTTAGTTAACATTACTAAGAGGCAGAGCTGGAATTTTAATGTGTAATGCCGATCCATGTAGAATGTATTTTGCCATTGGCCTTAAACCCATGTATAAATGTGATTTACAAATGACTGCCTAGTAGCTAGACATTTTGAAGTCTTAAAATTCGATGACCTTTGTTTCAATAGGAGGAATAGGGAAAAGTAGTGTTTTTATGGTGGGCGCAGTGGTTAAGAGCTCGGCTGCAATCCACCGTCTGCTCCTTGGAAACCCTGTGGGGCAGTTCTACTCTGTCCTGTAGGGTCACTATGAGTCAGAATCAACTCTGGCAATGGGTTTGGTTTGGGTTTTTAGTGTTTTTGTTGATAAATAAAAATGGAGACAAAACAATTAGATTCTCTTACATGTTGACAGTCAAAATAAATTCTAGATCAAAGCAGTTATTCTGCCCCTTTTGCAGATAATTCAGGTTCTATTTGTATATATTGTGAGTCAAACATGGGGGACCCATTTTAGCTGTGTTTGCTAGTAATCAGGGATTATGAGTCTTATCTTTCACTTTAAAAAGTCATAAGTGGAGAAGAGAACACTTAGCACCTTGGCATAGCTCAAGAACTTGTTCCCTTGCTTGGAGTGTTGTCAGTGTAAGCACAGTAATGATACTGGTTTGGGAAAAAGGTATTTAAAATATATAAAGTGTGATTTGCCTTAAAGAAACATTCTTTTAAAGAGACCGTATTATAGGATGAATGTAAAATATGTTTACTAAGTTGTGACCAGTAAAATAGCATGTCAGAAAGAAGCCATTGTCTTTTTGACTCTAGGAAAGTTTAGCCCAGACAGGCAGCTATAATAAAAGATCCTGAAACATTCCAACTGTAGATTCTTGCATTCACAGGAGCTGACCCACAGCTCTTAAGTACTTTGTTGCTCACTGAACGGATGGAGGTAATTTGTGAGTTCTTCATGCAAGGCTGCAAGAACTGTTGAGTTTTCCTTCTCGCCCAGTATGAGAGGCAATGCTCCTCACTTCTTATTAGTGGTGAGCCTAATTTGGGGAGATGAAGAATTTCAAAATCTAGTGGCAAGCATCTAGTGTGAGAGAATTTTGCATTAGTTATGTAGACTAAATATCTTGAACCTAGCCAAGGAGTATTGAGACTGCTGTTATATGTATTAAAGTTGACCATCTCTAAGAGTTGCCTGCAGTGTGTTTCAGATGTGACTCCTTCATTTTTATTATCTTGTTGTTGTTGTTAGGTGCCATGGAGTTGGTTCCGTATGTATAATGCCCGTATGTATAACAGAAGGAAACACTGCCTGGTCCTGCACCATCTTCACAATCATTATGCTTGAGCCCATTGTTGCAGCCACTGTGTCAGTCCATCTCATTGGGGGTCTCCCTCTTTTTCACTGACTCTCTACTTCTACCAAGCATGATGTCCTTCTCCAGGGACTGGTCCCTCCTGATATCATGTCCAAAGTATGTGAGACGAAGTCTTGCCATCCTCGCTTCTAAGGAGCATTCTAGCTGTACTTCTTCCAAGACAAATTTGTCCTTTCTTCAGGCAGTCCATGGTATATTCAATATTTGCCAACACCATAATTCAAAGGCATCAATTCTTCAGTCTTCCTTATTCATTGTCCAGCTTTCACATGCCTATGAGGTGGTTGAAAACACCTTGGCTTGGGTCAGGTCCACCTTAGTCCTTGAAGTGACATCTTCGTCTTTTAATACTTTAAAGAGGTCTTTTGCAGCAGATTTGCCCAATGCAATGCATGAATTTTTATTATAATTAAAAATAATAAATTTTTATATTTTATATATTTTTATAATTATGATAATTTTTATTATAATTTAAAAAATAGATAAACCTTGTCACTTTGTTAATATTTTATTTTATAATTGGTATTCAGCAATCCTTAGAAAATATTTTGCAGTGTTGAGTCCACCTTTTATCATTGGACTTTTAGTGAATTTTTAACATAATTTTTAAAGCCATCAGCATTTCCCTTGAATTGAAAAAAAAATCCCGTAGTTGTTTAAAAAGCTTGGTTTTAATACAGCATACATGAAAGATAGTTTTAGGAATATAAAACAACACAGTAGTTTCTAATTTATTGTTT